AAGAAAAGTAGATACTGGGGCATAATATGAAGTAGCTGTCACTTAATTAGTACTGTCATTTTCATAGATTTAAAGTACATATGGGCCAGGTACAGTAGCTTACATCCGTAATCTAGGCCCTTTGGGAGGCTGAGACAGGAGGATTGCTTGAGTCCAGGAGTTTCAGAGCAGCCTGGGCAACAAAAGAGAGACTCTGTCTCTACAAAAAGTAAATAAATACATAAATAAATGCCAGGTGTAGTGGTGTACGTTTGTGGTCCCAGCCTCTCAGGAGGCTGAGGCGGGAGGATCTCTTGAGCTCAGGAGTTGGAAGCTGCAGTGAGCTTTGATTGTGCCTCAGTACTCCAACTTGGATAATAGAGTGAGATTCTAACTCAAAGTACATATGCTCTTATTCAGGATTGCTTTCATTGGCTAGTGGAGACTGTAAAAGCATTTAATTTAGATTGAATTTAGGACTGAATGACAGTATCAATAATTTCTTTCTTTTTTTTTTTTTTGAGACTCTCATTCTGTCACCCAGGCTGGAGTACAGTGGCACAATCTCAGCTCACTGCAACCTCCGCCTCCCAGGTTCAAGTGATTCTCCTGCCTCAGCCTCCTGAGTAGCTGGGATTACAGGTGCCCACCACCATGCCTGGCTCACTTTTTATATTTTTAGTAGAGACGGGGTTTCTCTCCATGTTGGCCAGGCTGGTCTCGAACTCCTGACCTCAAGTGATCCACCCGCCTCGGCCTCCCAAAGTGCTGGGATTATGGGCATGAACCACCTCGCCTGGTCTAGGTAACAGCATTTTTCAAGAAACTTTTAAGTTTATTCTTTACTGTGAATGAAGATCATTTAAGAGTACAATTTCTAATTTTAGCTTTCTTTCATGATCTTCTTTCTTACCTCTAGTCACATTAAAGTTAGGATATACTCTTTAGTGATTAACTAGGAGGATAAAAGTATTTATGAATCCAGTAAGCAGTTAACTAGAAGTATTGTCTCTTACCGTAGATAAAATGTCTTATGGTGCTACCTTTGTATTTTAAAGTACTCATGCAGATAATTAATAATCTCAAATTTTGGAATGTTGTGTTTCTTGGAATATTAGGCAAGTCCCTTAAAACTCAGTGTCTCAGTTCTTTTGAAAATAAGTATATGCCTCTAATTGGTCTTTTGAAGTTCCTTCTAACATTGATTCTGCTACCTTTAGAGGATGTTTTGGGAATTATTTATGTTAAAAAACTATACAATAAGGGATTTTTTTTTCTTTTCTTTTCTTTTTTTTTGTGACAGAGTCTTGCTCTGTTGCCAAGCTGGAGTGCAGTGGCACAATCTCGGCTCACTGCAACCTTCACCTTCCAGGTTCAAGCGATTCTCCTGCCTCAGTCTCCTGAGTAGCTGGGAATACAGGCATGTGCCACCACGCCCAGCTAATTTTTGTATTTTTAGTAGAGACGGGATTTCACCATGTTGGCCAGCATGGTCTTGGTCTCTTCGTGATCCACCTATCTCACCTTCCAGAGTGCTGGGATTACAGGTGTGAGCCACCATGCCTGGCCACAATAAGGGATTTTTTTTTTTAAGTAATAGAGATAATTTTATGTGCAATTGAAGTATTATAAAATACTTCTGAAAGATACAGGATTCTTTAATCTGGAATACAAAAGTAATTGTAACCTAATATAGATATTGTTACATTATGCAGTTTGATTTAAGAGTTTCCTTTACCTTTGCCTTTCCAGGGTTGGAGATGCCTCAGAGAGTAAGAAGTATTTGCATGAGCCATAACATTCCTTTTTTTTTTCCTTTTTTTTTTTTTTTAGTCGAAGTCTTGCTCTGTCGCCAGGCTGGAGTGCAGTGGTGTGAATTCGGCTCACTGCAACCTCCACCTCCTGGGTTCTAGTGATTCTTCTGCCTCAGTCTCCTGAGTAGCTGGGACTATAGGCACGTGCCACCATGCCCAGCTAATTTTTGTATTTTTAGTAGAGATGGGGTTTCACCATATTGGCCAGGATGGTCTTGATCTCTTGACCTCTTGATCTGCCTGCCTCAGCCTCCCGAAGTGCTGGGATTACAGGCGTGAACCACCACCAGGCCCTTTTTTTTATTTTTTAAGCTTCAATCCACAGTGTTTTTCTTTGATTAGATTGTTTTATTTTCATAATTGGGAAAAATGAATTATGATAGTGTTGAATTAAAATATTTGCTCAAGGGTGTTGGGTGAAAGAACAGGACTATACTAATTGACTGGAGAAGCCCATTTAAAGCTGATACACAGTAGTATATGCTATCTCATATATAAAGGATGATAAATTTTAGTTGTGCTACTACAGAGGAAGATATTGGACCATCTTGGGTTATTTAGCATTTCTCCCATTCTATCTACTTTTATCCAATTTTCAATTGTAATAACTTTTTTCTAGAGACTATCTTGACATAAGGAATAAAGCCAAGAAGAAAACAGGGACAGAACTAATGGGAAATTCATCCTTCAGTTCAATAAGATTATATAATAAAAGAAAAAATATATCACTTTTTTTTTTTTTTGAAACACGGTCTTACTTTGTCACCCAGACTAGAGTCATGGCTCACTGTAGCCTTGACCTCAAGCAATTTTCCCACCTGAGCCTCCTAAATAGTTGGGGCTACAGTTGTGTACCATCATGCCTGGCTAATTTTTTGAAAAAAAATTTGTAGAGATGGTGTCACTATGTTGCCCAGACTGGTCTTGAATTCCCGGCCTCAAGCAATCCTCTCACCTTAGCTTCCCAAAGTGGTGATTACAAGTGTGAGCCACTGTGCCCAGCTGCTAATAACTCTTCACATTAGTTATGTGGGATTGTTTGTGAATAATACAGTTCTCCTCATGAGAGAAAAGATATACTCATTTTGTGCCTATAGTACATTGTTGACTGAATCTCTCTTAAAAATTGTTTTCTCTTCTCATTCCCATCCCCCTACAGAATCTGTCTATGATCTTCTCCCAAAGGAGTTACAATTACCTCCATCTAGAGAAACATCTGTAGCATCAATGAGTCAGACAAGCGGTGGTGAGGCAGGCTCGCCTCCTCCAGCTGTTGTTGCTGCTGGTATGCATTTCATTTTATTTTACTAAAGAAATCTAGGGACAACATGAAATCTGGCCAACATGAACAGTACTGGCAAAATTCATATTAAAAAGTGTGATTTGAGGGTTTTAAAAAGAGGCATTAAAATACGTACTTTTAACCTTAAACTTTTTCAATATGATTTTCTTGATGTAATTCTTATTTTTAAAAATTTTACATTGTCACATCTGTAAGTGCCATTTTCTGAAATGGACCTTGTTTTTAAATATGGGAACCAGCTTAAAGTTGTTATGTTGACTGCACTTTAAAAAGGTTAAATAGCAAGCTGTGAATAGAAAATTATATTTGAGTTCCTATTTAATAATTAATTTTAAAGACTTGCTCCAAGGGAAAATATCGTATATGATCTGAAAAATGACTGAAGCACTTAAGTGTCTTTTATATTCATAGCGTGTTACTGAAACCTTTTTCTTATATTTAAAAATATATGTGGCTTCATATTTATTGAAAGTAAGGAGTACTTCTATATAATATTTATATAAAGACATTTCTTATGTTGATGAAAAAGTATAGAAAGTAATATTAGAAATTTATTAGCCTTATTTTTACTCAGCTCTCAAATCATACACTTAATAATGATACAGTTGACTCAAATTTTTATTTTACATAAGAATAAAAGATTGACAGACTAACAGAAAAAAGTCTTATCAGTGACAAATTAGTATCAGTGCTTTCTGTAATATTAGTTTGCCCAACTAATATTGGGCTTATAGACTGCTAAGTATGTTTGCTTTAAAAAAAGGAAATATATATATATATATAAATATAGATATAGACATATATTTATATCTATATGATATAAAGTTTTATCTGTCCTAATTAGAAGTTTCTTGCCTAATATGACACCTCTCATCTTTTAAAATGGTATTTAAAGTTTATCAGAGCATGGTTTTTAGTAAAGTAGTTTCAAAATGAGAACAGCGAGGTGTAAGGTGGTTTAAATGAGGATATTGGTACTATAGTATAACTTCAGATATATTTCTCATATGCATTAACCTATGTACCATTAATCTTGTGTACCAGTCTTTCTCAAGCTGTATATATAGTGCATTATTGAAGCCTTCCTGGTTGAAGGCAGGAAAACTTTAAATATGGCAAAGAAACTGATCAGCCCTGCTCACTGTTCATGTGTTGCCAGACGTTTTCTAACAGTTTCTGTGGATTTAATTGTGAATTAGTGAACTTTATAGTAATCAAATTGGTAAGATGACCTAATTTGCTTTATATCCACTGGGTTCTAAAATGGCTATGATGATTTTTTCTGGAATTTTAAGTTTTAAATCTGCTTTTAAAATTGTATTCGATAAAATATGACAAAGATAAAATATTTTTGTGAGAGACTTCACCTTAAATCCACAAGTAGAAATTGACTAATTGATTTCTTTTGTATCTTTTGAGATTGTTTTTTAAAGATATGTTGAACCTATATAGAACTAAAAGTCTGTTCCTTCTGCGCTTTTTAACATCTGTTGACAGTAGATCCAGTTCCTTTTAAAAGCTGAAAAAATGTTAGGTTTAGAAAAAAAATTCTTCCTTTTAAATAATACCAAATTCAATTTTAGAAATTCATATATATATATGTAGTTATTGAATTTGGGTCACTAATGAAACGTTAACCTTCCCCCACCCCAGTATATTTGAGAAAATCTCTCAAGATAAATTACATTAAAAACTTTGAATGGAAAAATCATGAAAATAAGAAACTTAATCAAAGGAAATATTTTGAAGTCATACATTCTTAATTATCTTGAAATTATTGACCTTATAAAGATCACAGAAAGAATAAGAATATAGAAAAAGAATAAGAATTATAGTTTTGTTATAGTCACACACGAAGTGTCTGTGATCATTAAGTCATTTATAATCTTTTTTAAAAAATTTAGCAACCAACTTAGATTATTCTAGGATTCTAACATCTTAGAAAGAGTACTTTATACTTTATTATAGATAAGAGAGTTTAAATCATAGAATAATTATTGTAGGGAATCGGTATATATCATTAGAATTATATTTTTATTTGACATTAATATTATTGGTGATAAAACTGTCAAAGAGATATATTTGGAATATATTACCAAGTTACTCAATGTTTTCCTAGTCAAAAGGCTAGTAGATGTCTAGGGAAAGGCACATTAATTTAGACTTGTATGGTTTTTTTAAAAAAAAATCTTTAGCATTTTTGAAAGAATATGGGTTGAGTACGGTGGCTCACGCCTGTAATCCCAGCCCTTTGGGAGGTCAGGTGGGCAGATCACTTGGGGTCAGGAGTTTGAGACCAGCCTGACCAACATGGCGAAACCTCGTCTCTAATAAAAATAGAAAAAATTTGCCAGATGTGGTGGCAGCTGCCTGTAATCCCAGCTACTCCAGAGGCTGAGGCAGGAGAATTGCTTGAACCTGGGAGGTGGAGGCTGCAGTGAGCCGAGATAGCAACATTGCACTCCAGCCTGGGCAACAAGGGCAAAAAAGTTCATTTCAAAAAAAAAAAAAAGAAATGAAAAAAATATGAAATGTGTAAGAACGTTGACTCTTGATATAGTTAATTCTTCAGAGTTTTGAAGGAGCCAGATTGGCTGCTGTCAGGTATGAGGGCCTGGTGGGAACAGACTTCTAGTTCTGCCATAAAGGTTTGTGTTTGACAAGTTTTAAATTAATTTAAATTTTAAAATTTAAAGACTGGGCATATGAGTATTCGTGGACATTTTTTGTTGTTGAATTATTTAAAATGTGTTTCTCAGATTCACCAATCTAGATTTTTTTCCTCTTCATGTTACTGAGGGAATAAGTAAACCTGATGCTGCTAATCCACAATCCAGAATATTGGGTAAAAGAGTGTCTTTCAAACCTTTATCTGCTTCTACACTCTTCACACTTTTATGCGCTCCCATCAATAATATATTTTTATCCTCTAATCCCAGGGTCAAGGTGTGGGGGAAAGGGACTTGTTTAGACAGTTTCTCCCCACTTCATGGGGCCAAGTGTCAGAATCTGGGAGGTGTAGTTCAGAGTCACCAATCTGAGATTTGTTGTCCTTCCCATTTTTTTTTAAGAGGTATGTTCTAGCTCTGTTGCTCATGCTAGAGTGCAAGGTGCAGTCATAGTTCACTGCAACCTTCAACTACCGGGCTCAAGTATCCTCCTGCCTCAGCTGGGAAATAAGTATACACCACCACACTTGGCTAATTTTTTTAGAGACAGGGTCTATCACCCAGGCTAGATACAGTGCTGTGACCTTGACTGGCTGTAGCCTTAACCCCCTGGGCTCAAGTAACCCTCCCACCTCAGTCTCCTGAGGAGCTGGGATCACAGGCATATACCACCACATGGACCTGGTTTGTTTTATTTTATTTTTTGAGACAGTCTCACTCTGTTGCCCAGTCTGGAGTACAGTGGTGTGATCTCAGTTCACTGCAACCTCCACCCCCCAGGTTCAAGCGATTCTCCTGCCACAGCCTCTGACATTATAGGTGCACGCCACCACGCCCAGCAAATTTTTGTGTTTTTAGTAGGGACAGGGTTTCACCATGTTGGCCAGGCTGATCTCAAACTCCTAACCTCAGGTGATGAACTTGGCTAATTTTTGTGTTTTTTGTAGAGTTAGGGTCTCACTATGTTGCTTGTCTAGGCTGGTCTCAAACAGACTCCTGGGCTCAAGTCATCCTCCTTCCTTGGCCTCCCAAAGTGCTGGTATTACAGGTGTGAACCACTATGCTTGGCCCTGGATTGTTTTTTAATTTTTTGTAGAGATGTCTTGCTGTGTTGCCCAGGCTGGTCTCGAACCCCTGGCCTCAAGCAGTTCTACCTTGGGCCTCCCAAAGCACTGGAGTTACAGGTGTGAGCCACCATGCTGGGCCCTCCTCCTCATTTTTAAGAATTCTGTTTTTGTCCCAGTGGAAAGATAGTTAAGGCTTAGATGTTCACTATATCAATGAATAAAAGCTTTAGAAATATAACCTTTTTGAACCATTTTATAAGTTCTTAATAGTTAAAAGAGAGGCCATGTTCCTAAAACATAAACGTTATCCAAATGAATTGATGACACTTTTTGGCAAAATAAGGAGTTGATTAAAAAATAAGTACAAATCATGAAAATATTCTTTGTTTTTTGAGTACTCTTATAGTATAGGTTGTACAGAATTAAAACGTAGGTATTATTTAGGAGAACTAAATGAGTTATATCAGAATTTGGGGCATTTGAAAAGATATATTCAGGTTTGGGTTTTGTTTTTTTTTTAATAATAGCTTTATTGAGACATAATTTGCATGCTGTATAACCAAATATTTTAAATCTTTGTGTTTATAGTTTTAATCCTTAAATTTACCTAATTTATTTAAAATAGTCTTTCATGGAAGTAAGCAGTAAACGTTAGTCTTCATTTTAAGAAATCAAGTTATTTTCTTCTTCTCTGCTAGACTCAATTTGATTGGCTTCATTTGGGAATGTGACATTGTGTTTATTAGTTTATTTCAAAATATATTTTGCTAAGTGGACTGTTTCAAGTTTCTTTAAAATTTTTAATTCAAATTCTTGAGCTAAACAATGAATTAAACTATATTAAACTATAGGTTTTACAGTCAGAGAATCTTAATGTGTTAATAATTCTTTTTTGCAGTGTTTCATAATACTGATATTTTGCTTTTAGTAATTATATATTAGTACTCTTTCTAGAAGTAACAGTACATTAATACTTCATAGCAGTTTTTAACATATATAGATAATACATGTTAAAAACTGCTATGAAACTGCTTTTAACATGTATAGATAATAGCAGTTTACGAAACTGTTTTTAACATGTGTAGATAATACGTGTTAAAAACTGCTATAAAAACAGTCCTAAAGCACATATAGTTGAAATCTTGGTTAAATATTTCCACTTGTTGGACCACTGTAGGTTTTTAAGTTCATAACTTAATGTGAAGTGATCCATTTAATAAACTTTTCTTTTGGAAGAGCTTTACTA